GGGCGGGGCTGCGGGGAGGGCTGCTTCCTGCGCTCGAGCCGCCGACGCCCGTCCCGGAGCGACCCTGGGGCCCCCCGGCCCAGGTCCTGCCGAGCTTCCTTCGGCCGCTCGGGGGCCCCGGTCAGAGGTGGGGGGTGCTACCAGGGGACGGGGAGGGGGCCGTGCAGCGCGTCTGACGACTCTGGGGTGAGGGGCACAGGTGACAGTTTAAGGGGCTTCTCCCTGCCTCCGCGTGTCTCTCCCGCTGGCCTGCCAGGATGAGGCAGGTCTCCGCCTCCAGACTCTTGGACAGAACCGCCCTGCACCGTGGTCTTAGAGGTCCGGGACCTGGCTCCCACGAGCCCTGGACCAGTGGGTCTCAGAGTATGGCTCCCACGCCAGCAGCACCAGCCTGACCTGGGGACTTGTTGGAGATGGAATTCTCGGGGTTCACCCAGACCTCTTGAACCTGAATCTGTGGTTCAGAACTGTGTGTTTTAACAAAGTTCACTGAAGTTCGAAAGCCGTTGGCCTACTGGCTATGCCCGGCACGCAGTATGCGCTCAAATATATGTTGAAAGAATAAAGGGAGCGATTGAAGTGCCAGTATGTTCTAAAAAACTGTCATCTGTTCACAGTAGCTTTAAAATGAGCTCCATCCCAGCCCCCATGTGCTCCAGAAACTAGGGGCAGGGGCGTAGAGGTGGATAAGACCTAAACTGCTTTCATGAAGCTCTTAATTTAGGCCTGAAACATGATTTATCATAATTTTTTTGCCACACTAGAACAGATCCCTGAACCAATACGTTCGTTTGAATACAGGGAAGCTAATCAGGAGAGGCTCAGGAAAGGAGGTCTCTCAGAGGGCAGTGACCTTAAAAAGGACACCTTGTATAGGACCTGGGTTTCTGGGTGGGGCCGGGAGAGACACGGAACCCAGCAAGGACAGTCTCTCTTTTCTTAAGGTCTGATTAATGCCGTGTCCCTTTCTTAGTCAGATCTCTCTTTTGATAATAAAAATAAAAATAAAAAAATCCTAGAATGAGTAAGTGAAGGAATGCCAAGATCCTTGGTACTATGTCTGCACCGGAGCAGTTCACAGCCCTAGGTCTAAGCTACCGGGGAGAAGAGGAGGAAGAGGTAGGGAACTCCTTTTTCCAGGCCAGCTGTGCCTCCCTCTGTCAAGGTTCCAAGTCCTCTACACACCAGCGATGAGGTTCAGGAGGAGAGTGCTACAGCAGCTTTCATGCCTTCCTGACTGATCACTTCAGTTCCTAAATTTCGCAAAGCATTATCTGTGATCTCATTTAAACCATCTTGTGTGTCAAGACATCTGGATTGTTATCCATACTCACGATAATGGCTTACATTTGTACCGAGTTTTACAGTTCATGAGTAATCCATGCATCTGATCTCAGGGTTTCCAAATGCCTGATTGTATGGGTCGCCTGGGGACTTTTCTGAAAATATGGATTCTGAAAATATAATTTAAGAACTGACAGCTGGTGGGTGGATCTGGTCTGAAGAAGTGTTTTATTTGGTTAGGGTTTTGAAAAAAAAAAGTTGAATATATGTGCCCTAAGGTTCAAGTATATCTGTCTCTGCTGTTTCTAGTATTATTTATTTCTGACTCCCCAGACAAGAATTCTGGGTCTTGAAAGAATGTCAGACATCATCCACCCCTGAGCTCCTCCAGGTAGGGTAACCAAGAAGAGTACCTGTGCCCACTAAGTCATAGGATAAATAATGGGACATCTTTCTGGAATATCAATTTTTCTCAAATGTTTGCGAGAAGAGCCATCATGTATGTATGAAGACAACTTGGAATATGTGTGAAATTGAATACAATTCAATTACTTGCATATAATTTTTAGGGCAACTTCACGTGTTTCTCATTTGTAGTAGTTGGCTTAGCATGATGCCTGGGGAGGGGAGAGCAGAAACCCTCATCTGCGTTAGGGTTACTTCACGGGAGGGGTCCAGCTCAACCCCTTTTCAAATGAGGAGAGAGGCCCAGTGAGACTTGTAGGGAGTGGCCTCTTATTCCACTTGGTTCACCTCCCATCTGTCTAGCAGGGAGCCTCGAATCTAGGAACACTTGCTGATTTCATTTCATTAGTCCTATCCCGACACCAATCATTTGTGTCTCTGGTGAAGGAACCAGGGCTTTAAAGGGCCCCGTCTGGCCGGTCATGGTGGGTCATGCCCATAATTCCTGCATTTGGGAGGCCAATGCGGGAAGATGGCTTGAGGCCCGGAGTTTGAGGCTGCAGTGAACTGTGATTGTGCCATAGAAAATGGAGTGAGACACAATCTCTATTTTTAAATAGGGAGAGGAGGCGCTTCTGGTTTCCAGCTCCTTCCTCCCCAGAGCTATGGGAGAGGGAGGAAGCTAGGTCTGCTCAGGCAGGTCTTATCACTGCAGGGAGTTTGCATCACCATTGGGATGATTAGCAAAATCTCTTTAAACAAAATCATGACCTCAGCCTGGAGTTG